GGTGGTTTATTCAGAAGCAAGCAGACAGCTGCTGACAAAAACGATATCAATCAAACGTATTGCCCCTCAGAGCAAGTCAAAAACCGGAAATGTGATTTTCTAGCTAAGTGGACAGACAACCATATTTTTTTTGCCAGCGACATGCGGCTTGATTAAAACTCATATCACAATGAAATGTACTTTATTCGCCAAGAAAAATTTCACGTGTCATTCATTTTTTTTTTTTGGCAAAAAGAAAGGTCCCAGTGTCACTGATTAATGATCAATAGATGCTTTGCGCATACTTTGATCAATTGCTATTTTATAGGAATGAGAGGGCCCAAAATAGAGAAGAATGAAGAAATTGTCAGATGCATAGTAGTGAGACGAAACACATTCTGTGCGAAGTCCTACAAATATTGCATTGATGGAATACTTGTAATATATTTCTTTCGAAAGAAGTTGTAGCAGTGCGAGTTGTGGAAGATTGCAGTGAAAAATCCAAAGACTGATTATACTGCAATTTATCATATGCTAGAGTTATCGTCTCTAAGCAGGCGCTTGATGGTCATTTTAAACAGAATGAGTAAATTGAACGTAGCTATATTTCACTGGCATTGGTGTTTCTTTTTTTACAAATGACACTCAAGGGACAGAAAGTTACTATTTGGGCAATTCTGAAGAGATAAAATAAGCGTGTAGAAGACATGGGACGCAAAAACGGAATTCAAATAGCTCGAATGGGCTTCAGTACTGCTTGTTCCGGGTCTACTTTTTTTACATCAAAAGACTAATTTTTGAAAGATATTCCAGCTCAGATAGCTAAATTAACAATCACTCGAAAAATTCCCCTAAATAAATATTTTGCAAATAATGTCGCTTGTTTCTTTTAAAACTCGACACTTATCTCTTCATCTTTTTCAAATCGTTTTGATGGTAGACAATTGTGGTATTGAGCATTAAACGTTAACAAGAAAGTCCAGTAAAAAACCATCATTTCGCATTTTATAGGCTCTCATTTGAAAAAGCAAGACATACGGAGAAGTTGCATACGTAAGTCGAGGGAAATGGACGTCAAAAACCTTGAATAACAAAGTAACCACCGAAATGAAGCCAGTTTTAAGACCTCTTCTGACCTTTGACCTCATGTTCAAATAGAGATCGATTTTACTTCTTCACTATGCGAAACCTCAAAAAGAGATGCGCCGAAAATGCTTTGACTACCATATCGAATGATCAAAGTCAAACCTTGATCAGTTCCGTCAACTGTTTGCTTGGCGGAAACTCGAAAACAGCAGGCTCAGCGTTCACTGGTGCCTGGGGACGTGGTGATGCGCCGCTTAGATCGGCATGAATAACCGGCTTCGTACGATAAACAGATGATCTTGGAGACATCGGACCCGACGGTGATCGGATAGGTGAAGCCTAGAAAACAAAATCCAGCACCAGTTGAAAATCTGGTTCGACACAGTCCCCCATCCCTTCATCGTCACCAACTTGGCATCTTTGGGCTTTCTTGGACAACTCTCGTCTTAACATAGCAAATTGGCCAACAAACTGTCAGAAATTTTATTAATGGTGTGTTGGACAACATTCTAAAGCTTTCTTTTTGAAACGGTTCCTACAAATAATTTTACAAGCCCAGATCGAAAGTCAAAGCTGACATTGCGCGAGCTCGAGTTTGATTACATCTGGAGCAATATAATAGTTTCCAAATCTGCTTTGAGCCAACTTACAAATACCCAAGAAGCCAGCTACCATTTCTAGGTCCAATTCCCGCTTTTGTAGATAATTTTGTTCTCATTTTTATGGATTTTTTTCACCTAAATAAGCAAACAGGTACTGTAACAGTAATTCTCTTAGCTGGACAGCTGCTAAAATGAGCATATCGTCAAACTAAAATTAGCGCATTTTGCACGAGTTTTTTCTACTCGATTTTGATGTTTTTTTTCTCTGCAAGCACAGTTGAGCAGTCAAACCATCCTCTATCTGGATTTATTAATATTAACAGCAAAGAATATTGCACAGGGACAAACTTATTACTTACATCTTCTTGTAGGTAAAGCAAATTTCTCGGGCAAAATTCAAGAAATAAATCAGTGTAACAAAATTCCAGTGAGTTCTCAATACAGTACAGGGCTTATTTCGAAAGTTTAAAAATACTTTCTTCCAACTACGGAGCCAAAAAATAGCAAGCAAATGAATGGACAAGCGTGGAAATTTCTGACGTTTCTTCCTACAAACCTCTCGATGTTCCACGGATTCTACTCCTAGCGAAATGTAACTAAGCAATTACTACCAATTCTTTGTTAACTGTTTTTTTGTACAGTATCTACTTGTATAATACCTGTACAGTGCTTACTACATAACGTATCAAGGATATGCGCAAACAGTCATTCCGGGCGGCCAATGGAAAAAAAAAATCTTAAAAACGTAATAAATCGGGAGCGTGTAAAAAATTCTGCTGAAAATTCGTAGCGCAGCTGTTGACTGAAGCATTTTTTTGTTGATAAATATCTGTGTTGTTGATATCGGATGTCGTCAGAGGCGAGAAGCAACATTGGCTGATAACGATCAGCTGCTGTTCCATAGTGTCAAACACATAGTTAGCACAAAACATCATCCAGCCCTTATCTCCTGAGTTTTTCTCCGGCTCCGTAGAACCAGGAAATACTCCTATGTTTTTCAGAAATTTGATGGGTACGCCCGCTACAGCGTAACTTTGCTGCGTCCTTTTACGAAAAAAAGACTACTTGCGTGGATCGTAAAACAGCTTTTAATTTAGTCTGTAGGACAGTTACAGTTAATTATAAAAATGGATTTGGTTTTTGACTATTTTGAATGGGGCTTTAAAAGAGTGGTGCTAATCCCCCCATCCATGTTCATCACAGTCGTAAAAAAATTCATTCAAAATCTTGTACTAAGAAGTGGCTGGAGATGGGATGAGAATGAGGAATTAAAAAATTTTAATAACTGAAAGCTTGAATTTAGCCAAGAAGCGGCGTGGTAGGCAGGAAGAGGAGATGTAACTTCGGGTGAAACGATAATTTTCATTTTATTTTCGAGGGCAAAATTTTTAAACAGTTTTTCTTTGCTTTATAATTTTGGTTTATTTGGTCCTTAGTTTTGTTGACAGTTTATGGTTCGTTCTGCTTAGACACCCAAAAATGTCACTGGCATAGATTTTTCAGGCATTTGGGAGCATCCCAGTAACATCAATAACATGGGCTACTCGTAATGGCGAGATCATGGTGTTTCAACAATGTTACAGTGATGCTTAAAGCATTCGAAAAGAAAAATAAGTCGAAGTTACAAGACAAGTGCGCTTACCTCATTTCGTCTCTGTTCGGTGCCATTTAAGGCACAGGCTATTTGCAGCAAATTTGGAGTGCCAGGCCTTTTT